GCGCGGGCGGGGCCTCTGCCCCCCCCCCCCCGCCAAACCCCCACGCCCCCCGTCTCCCGCAGCTCTTCACCCACTCCCACGGCGACAGCCCCACTGTGGGGAGCAGTCTCTCACCTCACAGCTGGGGAAACTGAGGCAGGGAGGGCAGGAATGTGAATTGCACACACTCCCATGTGAGAACTGAGGGGTTTCCCCCTCCCAGGCCCTCACTGTTCACTTTCTCCCGTCTGCAAGCAGAAGGCCTGGTGCCACAATAGCAACGCTACAGGGGAAGGAAAGGAGATATTATCTCTCTGTCCGTCACTCTTCTGCCAAAAACCACCCATGGGAGGAGCTGGCTGAAAGATGCACGAAAGGTTGTCGGGGCTGGAGCAGCTTTGCCATGAGGTTGAAATCCCCAAGTCTGATCTGAGCCGCTGAAATGTTCTGCCGAAGCAGGGCACAAGGTGGAAGCAGACACCTGGAGTCTGCCAGCAGAAAGGATGGCTCAAACCTGGCCACAGGGCTCCTCCGGTGTCATGCTGGAACACGCAGGCCAGCCCCAGGGTGGCTCTGCTGGGTCTCTGGCTGGGACCTGAGGGCCAGAGGCCCTGGCTGAGACTGGACCGAGGGTCTGCCGGTGTTTTCCCGGTACCCAAGGCACCTCTCGGGCAGACCCAGGCCACGTCCGGACCCTTTCCTGCCTCCCACCTGGGTCCAGCGTCTGTATCTGGTTGTGGGACAAGTCCAGGACGCGCAGGTGTAGCAGGGGCTGCAGGTTCTCCACTCTGCGGATGCGATTTCCAGCCAGGGAGAGGAATCTGCGGAGCACAGGGAGGGCAGTGGTGTGAGGAGGGGGGAACGCCACAGCCCCCAGGGTCAGAGCCAGCAGCACCAGGCTGTCAGGGGCTGCAACTCAAATCCCCCCGGCTCTGCCAAGGGAAGGAGGGAGCCCCGCTGTCCTCTGACCATGGAAAGCTATCTGCTTGGGGGCAGGAGCTGCCCGTACCGCAGGTTGGGAAAGCAGCCCAGATTCTCGATCTTCTTCTCGATCTTCTAAATGTGGTTCTGGGAAAAAAAAAAAAAAAAGCAACGTGGTTTTTTTACTGCATGAAAAATCAGACTTCGGGAGGCCCCCCAGAATCACTCCAACCTCACACAGACAACATGATGTCCCACCACTGCCACGGGAGCTTTATGGAGGGGGTATGGGGCTGCGACAGCACGGGCAGACCAGCACGGTTCAGAAGGACCCTAAGGCTCCTCATGCGGGTTTGAAAAACACCGAATGGCTGACGCCAGACCCTCGCTCGAATTCCGTCGGTGGCACTGTCATCGGAGGGGAGCGCTGCCAGCCCCTCTGGCCATGCGGGGAGGCAAAACTCCGGAGCAGAACTGGGGGTGTTTGTGGTCCCCCCGAGGAGGCCTTTACCCGCAGGACCAGGGCTGATCCCCACTGCCCCGCGCCTGCCGTAGTGCCTTACCTGCTGCAGGTAGAGGCTGTGAATCTCCCACAGGCTCTGGAGTCTCCCAATAGCACAGATGTTCTCCCAGTCCAAGCGGACGGTCGAGGGGGACACCGGCTCCGTGGATCTAGAGGAAGGGGGGACGCTCGGGGTGTCCTTTGTGCCAAGAGACCCTCCCTGTCAGCCTGGGTGATGAAGGTGGGCCCTGTGCAGATCCTCACCGGCTCTGTGGGTGCGGGGGCTCCACCAGCCGAGGCAGGTTCCTCATAGTGATGAGGTGGTCGGTGAGGGTCACCCCCGGAGATGTCTGCTCATGGCCTGTGGGAAACCCAGAGTGACGGGGCCCAGGCCAGCGGGGTCCAGCCCCCCCACACCTCCCCAGGCTG